GGCAGTCCAGGCATTTAACCCTTCAATTGCCAGCTGTTACCCTCCAGCATGTCCATATAAGGGGTAAAACTGCAGTGTATCATCACACAGATTCACCCCCTCCCCCAGTGCAAACTTCATTCATAAAGCAGCGCAGGAATTTATGTAAAATCACATTTGCTGATTTCCTTTTTTTAAAAGATTAATTTAAAGTGTGGAGAGTCCACCTCCCCCAACATTGTCACTTGTACTTTCCACTCACATGTCCATCAAGGGTATGATAATTACAGTGTTGCTCATTAGGATTTACATGGATCTATAAAAAAAACTGCATTTCAGTCCGGTAGCAACTGGAACTGTTCCTTTGTATGTGAGAAAAAAAGAAGAAATGCTCATTATGTTGGGATTTTATGAAAGGCCACTCCTTGATCATGTAAGTTTCATGAAGCAACAGCGCCTCCTTGTGGCCTAGAGGAGAAGTGAGGGCGCTCTAGGCTGGCTCACACTGACTGGGTACTTCGGGCTGATTCACTAAAAGGAGCTTCACCTAAAAAATACAAAAAAGTGTGTGAACATTCACTTCAGTTATCTAATCGTGTGAAACGTATCAGCATATGAGCCGAGCGTGAATTTACATTGAACGTGATCGGTAAATTGACCTCCTGGCGTAGCTCATAATGAGGGCTTGTTCACACCAGCTCTGTGACGCTGCGTTGATCCACGCAGGTTCGATGCAGGGGCACATAGAAGACAATCGTTTTCTCGGTCCCCTGTTTACGCCATACAGGTGCGTTGCATATAAAATGAAGCATGTCTACTTATTTACAGAGAAAAGAATGGACAACGGCGCTCCAAATGCAAATCAAATGTGCCTGTTTAATGACGCAGATGCAGCAAATCACATGCAGTGCAACGTTTCGGGGTCACGCAGGATCCCCTTCCTCAGGCGGGATATGTGGTCAGGACTGCAATAGGTTCATGGACTGTTGCTTATTTACAGAACACACGTGTTGTAGCACGCTGTTGCCCATAGGGCTCCATGGAGTAATTGTAAATCCACAATCACATCTGTGCGCTGTGACAACGTAGACAAAGACATGCGTTTTGTGCTTCTTGCCACAGCGCGCCTAAACGTGACACTTTGTGAGAGGCCACTTATAATGGCACCTCAATTCACGGCATGCAATTGACATGTATAAGGCAGTCCATTTAAATGAATGGGCTGCCCCATACGCTACATGCAAAAGTGTGCACACGTATGAACGGGGACTGGTGCATGTTATTGCGCAGAGTAATGCATTGTACACTAGGGGCACTGCTGCGTTGCCATTTATTCTAAATAGACACCCCAATGCTTCAGCCAGTGGGCATGTGTTGCACGGTACAACAATAGCACGCATTGTGCCATGCGAGAAAAAATGCATGCATCGTTGTTGTTCACGGCACATGCATACTTGTTTGGAGGTGCGTTGGGGTGCCATTTCTTGTGAATGGCAATGTAGTGCACCAGCGCACCTAGCATGCAGTGCATTGCGCAGTGTGATAGTGCGCACTATTGCACGTATGCCGTGCCTTTAGCGCAGTGCTGTGGTGTGAATCGGCCCTTAAGGGCGCTGCTTTGCCATTGTTCCTTAATGGCACGCCAATGCTCCTAGCCATGGCATGCGTGTCACATGATGAAGGGACCCCATGTGACCCCAAAATGCCATTTTGCTTTGTGATTATGACAGCAGACGTCAATAAAAGGCGTGCATGTATCATTATTGGAGTGCCGGTGACTTTTCCTAGTTTCCATTATCTGGCAACGTAGGACCACCCACCAGGGACGTGCGGTCAGGGGAGCCAGATACTCACCTAGTATTTTGAAGAAAAAAAGGTGTCAGCTTCAAGTCTGAAGCCGACAGCTTTTACTCCATTTAGATCGGCTTGTTACCGGTTACACAGAAGGGAAAGCCTCCCCGCTTGTCATGGATGGAGCTCTGTCTGTTAATTACAGGCAGCGCTGCCTCTGGCTTTTGACAGGTAGTTAGGTTGCACAGCAGCAGGCTTCCCAATGCATGTGTAACCTAACTTGGTGAGGCAAGAGCTGTCACAGCCACTACTCTGTGTAAGAGACGTGAGCTCTGTGGATGGTTTGGACCAATAGCAAAGCACCATTGGTCCAAGCTGTCCAATGAAAAAAAAAAACAGAGGACATCGATCTCGATGCCTCACCAGTGACGAGCAAGTGAGGGACAGGGCGGCTCCTCCCTGTCTCCTCCCTTCCTCCTCCCCACACAGCTTGGCCACCGAGCTGGGGACAGAGCTTCAGCGAAACGGGGCGGAGCTTCGGCGGGCTGGGGGATGCCTTACCCAGCACAGAAGGCACGGCATGTCACTGGCACCCACTTGTCACTGCTGCACCTGGGGCTCAGGCGTGCGATGGAACATCTACAATAATTGCATTGCACCACAACGCACAGTAACCTATTGTAATTAATAGAGGAATAGTAAAGGTTAAAACATTTCCTGTTTCTGATTCATATTCATGACCTGATTAAATGGGGGGGTTGGGGTGCCCTTTGCCTACATAGCTGTGCTGGAAGGTGTCCGTCTTTCCCATCTCTCGGAGAGTCGGGCGGTATGCTGTCAGCGCAGAGGGCAGTTTGAGGGAGGTGATTTCGGGTAAGAGCCGGGATGGTTGTGGAAATTGCTGGATTATCATTCCAGGACTCTTTCCAAATTACACTCCTATACAAGAGGAACAAAGCTGAGCAAACGGCTGAGCTCCTCCGAGACACGGAACCAAATTGCTGGGAGGGGAAAAAAATCCATCAGCACTCATGTCGCTTCACCTTCCAGGAGAGGAAAGATGGGATCCCGCCTGCAAAAGATTCCCTGTTTCTCTTTTTCAAGTCTCAAACTTTATTTTCAATTCTGAATCCGGATCAGACACCTATACGCAGCAAAGGATTTCTTTACAGTTTTGCCCAAGCACTTACAGTCATCATGTTTCCAAACAGCTCCAACTCTCTCAGCTCAGCTTCCCTGAATGTCCTGTCCAGTACAAGACCACAAGGGGCAGAGCAGTCTCCAGCAGCCTTCCATCTACTAGCATGGAGAAGCAAAGAGGAGTAGGAGAGCAAGGAGAAGGGAACGTATTGCCTTACTGTGCCTGTGTGGTTGTGGAGACGCACACAGCTACTAGCACACAAGGGTGGCTCCATAGGACCCTGCAAGGGAACCGAGCCACCCTAAAACAGGATATCAGGGAGAGCGCTCATCTATTTTGTAATGCAGAGCAACAGAATGAACGCAGCGTGTCTCTTTGCAAGGCACCACAACACAAGTGCGTCCCCTTAGTGCATCGACGTACCATTGAAATTGAATGGCACTGCAACGTATTAGTACATATATGGTGGGTTGTAGTGCGTTGTGGGAATGCAGAAGATTTTGCAGCTACTGTTGCTCTTACAGGGGCCTACATACACCATGGAGTTGAGCTAAATGTGCAGGATCTGTGCTATTGCGCAGCGCGCGGTACTGCATTCTGTTGGAAATACAGCAGCATATGCTGATATGTACTGATTGTATTGCTGACTGCAATATGTCTTTTGAGCTGTAGATGGCGCTGTAGTGCAATGTTACTCTCTATGCATGTTTATCTATGACACACAGGAAGTTTTTCTATATGCATGTTTCCTGCACAATCCTGTATTCTGATGTAACGTTCTTCTAAGCAAGTAAAACCTAATTCTGCATTCCTCAGAGCTTCATCTAACACAACACATGCTAGGTACCAGGGGCGTCCCGAGGCTGGGTGA